TCTCAGTTCGATGGAGAACAATAAATGCAGTTCCAAAAGTTCTTTTTCCCAACTGTTCTAACACTTCATAATCATCTACCTTGTTATCAGTATCACTCTTCTGAGTCTCCATTCTGCCACTGAAAACACAAACATTACACTGTTTGGTCAAATTACAGTTAATTGAACAAGTTCTTGAACTCACACAACTCAAAACTTAGGCAAGCATTACACTTTACAGTAAAATTACAGTTAAAGATTCAATATTTCTGTTAATTGAACTGATTCTTGAACTCACCCAACTCAAAACTTAGGCAAACATTACACTTCACAACAAAACTACAGCTAAAGAGTCAATCTTTCTGTTAAAAACTGATTCTTGAACTCACCCAACTCAAGACTTAAGCAAACATTACAATTAACAGCAAAACTACAGCTAAAGATACAATCTTTCTTTTAAAAACTAATTCTTGAACTCACCCAACTCAAAATTTAGGCTAACATTACCCTTCACAACAAAACTACAGCTAAAGATTCAATCTTTCTGTCAATTGAACTGATTCTTGAACTCACCCAACTCCAAACTTGAGCAAATCTTTACAGGGTCAACAGTGAAATCCCTGCAACAAGAACAACAAAAGCAAATCTTCACTACATTTCAGCAAAAAAAAAAAAAGCAATTTTTTGAGAGTAAACTAAGCAAAGCTGCAACTACTACTTACTGTACGTGTGTTGTGTGAGAGGAAATGAGAGGGCCCTAAGAAGGAGGATCTGTTGTGTAGGGGCTAAGATTTTAGGAAGGCAACAATACTAATTAAAGCAGCATTGGATTCGCCAATATATATATATATTTACTATAGTTTATAATAGAAATTTAATCCACACTGAAAACAGATAAAAATGAAACAAAAAAAAAAAAAGTTAATTCAAATGCTGACATTAACATAATGCACCAATTCTACGGTGTTTTTTTTGTTAGGATGTACTAGAATAGTGTTTAATAGAAGTATTATTGTTAAAATAATTACAATAATAATATATTCAATGAAATATTATAAGTGAAGTTCGGGAGGGTAGTAGACCTTATCATTACCTCGCAGAGGTAGAGGGGTTGTTTCCGTAAGATCTTCAATTCAAATGCAATAAATTCAGCTACAAAGAAGAAGGAAACGGTGAAAAGAATATAGCAAGTAACAAGATAACTGTGCAAAGTCTATTTATTTTATGTGACCATGTTTGATAGTATTTGATTCTAATTCTGACATTAACATAATGCCCCAGGTTGCAATGTTGTTAAATTGAGACAAATAAATCGAAACAGAAGAAGCATTACAAACAATATATAATAATTATTATAAATTGGCAAAAGGTGTGCATGAGGTAAATTATAATTTTATAATATAAAAAAAACAAAAACTTAACTTTTTGGCAAAAATATTAAATTCATTGCCTTTATTCATTTCACAAGGGGCTTGAGATTGAGGAATGGAATATTTTGTTAGGTCATTGTCATAATGTCACCAATCACCATCCTCAACTACTAGTCTACTATACTATTATTTCTTTTTAAAATATTAAAAGTAATAAAAAATGGTATTATCTCTTTAATTATTTTTCTTTATTTAGGCTATTAGCTGCCTATATTTGCATCTAATTGACAATAATTCTCGTTGAACGTAATATTTCTGGTATGCCTAAATTGCTGTTTTAAGAAGAAAAAAAAATTAAAGTCAAATTCCAACCACCAAAATACAAGAAGTCAAATATTTAAACCTAAAAAAAGAAGAAAAGGATAAGTATTAATTGTACTATAATTAAGTGATAAATTGATCACGTGAGATTATATATTAGCTAAATTATTGCTTTTTTATCCAAAGAAGATTATATATTAGCTAATCTTGATTACTTACACCAAAAATCTAATTAGAATGTTTTAAACTCATATTATTACAACAACAATCAATCATATATCGAGAGAGTGGTGTGTATACAATTTTACTTACCTTATGAAGATAAAAAGGTTATTTTCAATACACCATCGATTCAAGTATGTAATTTTATTTTATATTAACAAACAAATAGTATGATGATCGAAATCAAGGAAATAATAAAAACAAAAACTACAATAACAAAAAAGTAAATAATATCAATAAAAAAATTATGCAACGCTCGACTATCTACTTACTTTGTTCTCAAAGTTATTGTCCACGTTGATTGTGGATTAGTTTTGCATTGTAAGGATTATGTACTTAAATTTTGTCGGTGGAATAGATAAAAGGGCAATTTCCTTTAAAAGGTGACATTGAAATATGAAAATATTGTGATTGGATTTTGTGACCCACCACTTGATGATAATGCTAGAAAAAAGAATAAATTATTTAAGAAATCAAATGTTGGACACTATTCATAAAAATAAAAGAAAAATGACATAAATGACTTTGTTTCTTTTTTTCCATAATAATTTGATATTTGAAAATTTAATGATCGACTTATTTAGATTCATGATTTTATGATATATAAAGCTTATTTGAAACAGAAGCATTACACGATAAAGCTTTGATCATTCTAAGAATTTGAATTTTTATTCACGCAATCTAGTACTCATTTTTAAGAGAAAAAATATTTATGAAAACTGAAAAGGTTCATATAACTAAAATAACATTTGTGTGCTAATAAAATTGCTATGTTATCAAGTCATCTGGTTAATTATTACTTACAAGTTACAACTGGTTATCATTAAAACTAAGATATACAATTTGATACAAATTATATAAACAGTTCTAAAAAATTACACTATAAGCATGTGTAAGACTAGTTTTTATATGATGTTTGACGATTCTTATAGCTCATCAGTTAGTTTTTAAGTTAAGTTTAGTTAGATTCAAGATTTATTTTTCATATCATGACCAATAACTAGAATGTAGACTCCTCTCAACTTTTAATAACTCAATATAAAGTATCGTATTCTATTATTCACGCTTTAATTATCAGGCATCAATGTACGAAATGTTAGATATCCACAATTACCACATCATAGTAATAAGTATATAAGATACTTATTGGTCTCCTTGTATTCATGAGTGGTGTAGCTACCTGTAGTGAAGGGTGGTCAGTCGAATATTCTTTGTCAAAAAATTATATCATGTAAATAAAAAATAATACAAAGTATATATATTAAATTTTGAACACCCTTAATGAAATTTTTGACTCAATCATTTTTGGATGAAGAGTGAAAAAAGCAAGAAAATATATACATCATGCATGGGTCTGATTGCTTACAATAGACACAAACATATGCATCTTAGGTAGCCCATTTGCACTTATGTTTACCATGTTGCTTGAAACTTGTTTTCTTGTTATAGTGTCATGGTTCATATGGTCCCTAAAGATATTTATAACAATGGAGATTCATGACAAGTTCATTCATCAAATCAATAAGAGTTGTGATGACATGAATAGGGTGCAGACTTCAGAGGTAAATCTACATGGAAGGGTGGAGGTATACGTACACAAATATCTTTTATTTGAGCTTTGAGTATGAAAAGAATTTTGATAGGAAGCGCTTAATATTTTTTGTTTAAGAAATAAGGATGAGCACTGGTCCTAAGAATATATATATATATATATATATATATATATATAATTTAATTTTTTTTTCTTTTCTTTTTTAGAAGAGCATTTAATTTTCAAATTGTGGATGGGGTTAAAAAGGAAATGAACATAATGTTTTATTTTATTTTTTTTAAGAAAAACAAAAGATACAACTTGCTATACACTAGTCATGGTTCTTTTAATGGAATTTCCTTGCATGCGTTATTTGAGGCTACTAAGACAGGCGGTGAGCTCTTTTATTAAGTAATGAAAAAGGGGTCTAAACACGACAGATGTCCTATTTATTTGTGTAGTTGATTTTGTCTGTTTAGTGTAAAAGTGCATAAAATAGGTCTATCGTTGATTTATAATAAAGATCTTGATTTTTAGCTATCTTAATAAAAAGTCTGCCTACCCTGCCCCATTTACCTATGCCTTGCCCCTCCCCCCGCACCCGCCTCAATTGTCATCCCTATATTTATAAAGGCTTACACCAAATGTATGATAGTCGGGATTTTGATTTAGTGGTAAGAGTCCAATCCATGAGGTAATTAGTCTAATAGTAAGAATTCATCACATGATGGGTGGGTTAATTAGCACAAAGTCATTGGTGCAATATTGGTCACTATTGAATTAGTCTAACAATAAAAACATAACACATGATGTGTGGATTATGCATGTCATGATGGAGTTAGTCTAATAGTAAAAGCATAACATATGATGTGTAGATTACGTATCTCACATATTCAAATCATGCCATATATAAAAGTTTAGTGGCCGATCCAGCAAAATAGTAAAAAAACAAATACTCGTAGTAGAAATTAGTAGTTAGAAGTATTAATTAATTACGAACTTATAATCAAGAAGATAATTCACAAGAACTAAAGATTAAAAAAATTGACAAATTCCTTATACATTATTAAAATCCTAGGCCGGCATAGCCTGCTGTGACCTGAGCTCCATTCTAAACAATAAAAATATCAAAAATTGATTGCGTATATAATAGCGATTCAGAATTTTCACTAAAAAAGTTTGAAAAAATAACAACATAAGCTTGAGGTTTGAACTTAAAATCTCAATTAGTCCCTTAACCACTTAGTTAACTTCTAATCTTAAGAAATATAATTATAATACCATTATATATATATATAATATAGTGTAATTCTTTACTGAGGGGACCACTCGCCAATGTCGCAGCCACATATAGCCCAAGGTAGCCAAATGGATACCCTTCGTTGAAAAATTATATTATATAGAGAAAATTATACTTAATACACATATAGATCAAAAATTATTTTTCATACATAAATATTAAAATTGGATTCCCTCAACGAAATTTCTAACTTTACTGTTGTCTAGATCCACCCATATGTGTGTATATATATATTGCAAAAGAATCAACAAGTATTATAGAAGGAAAAAAAAAAGCTATGGCTAAGAGCTTGCCAATAATAGACATGCAAGATATATCAAGTGATAAAAAAATAGTGAAATCACTTGAACGTTGGGGTTGTTTTAGGCTTGTTAATCATGGCATTCCACCACAACTCTTGTCGGAAATAATGGCGATTGGCCGGACGTTAATGGAACTTCCGGTGGAAATAAAGGGGCTAAATGTTCATAAAGATACAAGTTTTGGTTATATTCCGGTAAATATGACTAGTTCCATGTTTGAATCTTTAGGGGTTTATGATGCAACTTTATATGAGGATTTAGATTATTTTTCCTCTCAATTCAATCTATCTCCTCATCAAAGGTATGTAGTTTGTCTGTCTCGATTTACATGACATTTTTTATTTTCACGATATTCAAGTTACTTAAACTTTGATTGACATTTTAAAAGGTACTTTTAAAAAAATATATACTTTCAAATGAGAATAGTTGCAAATTATACTTTATAGCAGTGCTTATCGTATAATTTTAAAATATTGAGTTGATGTGGTTCAATTTAACTTTTAAACTTAGCTAAATTAACTTTCGAGAGGCAAAGGACTATATAAATTAAGAATGAAGGAGTAATTCCTAAATTTAGTTATTTTAAGCCATGGGAATTATGGGTCAGATTTATAGTGTGTTTGACCAAATTAATTTTCACAATTTGCTTATTTTAGAATGTTATTTTTCTCATCATACTATAGTGTTTATTTTGTCGTTTGGAGACTAGCTATATTTGACTACTCAATTTGAAAAATCTTTTGTCGATATTAGAGCAATAATTTGTGCTTGATCAAAATTCCAAAAATGTTTCCGAAGAATTTTACTTTTTTTAAGCTTTCAAAAAATAATTTTTTCTACTACTTGTAATTTTTATTTTATTTTTCTAAATGCTCCCCAAACACCTTAACTCTCTGAAACAAATAAAAAATTTTGTCTCCTTAGAAACTTAATCAAACAGGCAATAGACTCATAGATACTATTATTAACACTTAACATATTTTTTGCTCTAATTTTACTATTTTTAACTACTTATAAGAATAAATTATTTAATTTAGTATAAATATCGAATCAGACAATTTTTTTAATCATTTCAGACCTCACTTATAAGATTACACTGAATACGTATTATTGTTGTTGTTGACTAGCCTTTCATTTTATTTTTTTTGTAGGGAGGTAATGATGAAGTATTCAAAAGCAATTTATGATTTAACAAAGAAACTTGGGATTAAGCTCATGGAAGGTCTTGGTTTAGAAAGTGGAGATTTGTTTAAGGATTGGCCTTGCTTAATGAAGTTTAATAAGTATAATAATAATCCTGAAACAATTGGATTAACAGGAGCTATAACACACACCGATAAAGGATTTTTCACTATTTTATTGGATGATGAATTAGTTAATGGACTTGAAATGCTTGATGACCAAACTAATGAATTTATTCCTGCTAATCCAATTCCAGGATCATTTCTTGTTAATGCTGGGGACATTGCTAAGGTTAGATAAATAATTATGTTTTATTAGTTATTTTCTTTTTTAAAAAAATATTTATTTCTTCTTTACTAATTGATTGTTACTAGAAAATTCGTTTTAAGTAGTTTGTGGACAAGATTTTCTAATTGTTTATGATGTTAGAACTTCTACTTTAATCTCCAAAATAAAAGATGAGGAACATGTTTTTTGTTAGAGTTGGGGTGGAAGCAATAAAGGAGGCGAATTTCTTAACCTACACGAGCCTAAAGCAAAGAGAGTTCAGTTAGCTACGAATTTTTATTATTTAGCAACAAAAAATTGTTCATCAATACTTCAATACTACTTTTTATTTTATAGTAATAGAATCAAAACTAGAATATAGGCAACTATAACTTTGCTAGGAAGGGAATTATATGAATATTTTTAACACGATTTTTTTTTTTTAATCTTTGAAATTGTTACACATTTAAAATAATAAAAAACATAAATAGTGATCCTTCTCTAACAATTTTAATTGTTAGATAAGCTGGTTTAAGTCTTATCGTTATTTGATGATATAATATCTAAATATATTTAGCTCATACATCAAAGGTCACATGTAAAATAACATGTCACAAGTCAAATACAATAAATAATAATGTTATCGCTCGATGTTTGATATATGTAATTGTATTTGTGTTAGGCATGGAGCAATGGAAGAATTTGCAATGTGAAGCATAGAGTACAATGCAATGAGCCAAGAGTACGATACTCCATTACATTCTTTGTGTTGGGACCAAGAAATGCAAAAGTGGAAACACCTTCTAAATTGGTGGATTCTCAACATCCTCCTCTCTATGTTCCTTTTCATTTTGAAGAATATTGTGCCCTAAGAACTTCAACTACATTCATACAGGGTGAAGTTCTTGATTTGTTTCGTGAAAAAGCTGACTTAATCATTGCAGATGTTTCTGACGAAATTTTCGTTGATAATTAGGTTTTTTGAAATAGATGTGTGTAGGGGATTCACATCTATTTGTACGCAAATGGTCAAGTGTATGTTTTAATTATTGTTTTGATTTTAAGCAAAGTCAACTTAATTTGTTACACTAGCATTCTTGGTCGATGCATTAGCGAGCCTTTGGTTTATGCATCAATCGACCAATATCATGATATGCTTTATAAATTGTGTTCTATCATGTACTTCTATAATTATGAAGGAAAAACTACGACATACATCACGAAAATTTTTATTATGGTAGAGGCCCAATCAACCAAAGTTGGAAGAGGCTCTATCCATTTTTTGACATGTGGATCGTGGGGCCCAAACTATTAGTTAAGGCTGAAAAATGAAACCAAAAGGAGAGAGAATGTAAAGTTTGAGTGGGAATTGCAAGATAATTGTGGGGTTCATGTCAACTTCAATTAAATAAATTAAAATATTATATTGAAAGTGGAAAAGTGCAAGGAAATAAAATGTCATATTATTAGTTGATCAATATTTTTATTTTCTATTTTATATCCACATTTATTTAACGTGTTGAATTGAATATCTATTAAAAATATTATTCTTATATTGAAATTTGTTTACACTCTATTTTCTTTAAACTCGCGTTACTTTTAAAAATAGCTCTATATTACAAGATAAAATAAGATTTGTGCATTTTTTATTGTCTTCAAACTAATACTATTAACGTCAAATACCAAATTGAAGACATGCATAATTCTAATCACCTATTAAATAAACCCTTTAATGCTACTAAAGCAATGACGTGAAGAAATGGAGGACAATATGAAAAAAGAACGGAAAAAAAGAAAGTGATATCGTTTGTTTTGAAAACTCGAAAATCTCATTAAATGATTGTTGGTTTAATTTTATCATGTTGCGTTTCATTTACACAAAATATAAATTATTTCATTAGTTAAATTATTTATTGTAGTGACTAGTGAGAATGTACATTATGTTAGCATTTATTAATTGAGAAAAGGTTCTATACAAACTTGTGGTCCCTTCGTCTCATATTATTAAAAATATTTTTCTGGAATTATTATTTATTTTAGATAATTAAAATAGAGTGTATTAAAGAAGAGTTACAAGGCAATTAGTAAAAAATTTTCTACGTATTTACAATTTTTTTAGTAAAGATGTGTATAAAAAGAAAGTAGACAAATAATATGACTATATGAGTGAGATGAAAATATATTTTCAAGGCCTACCTTGCTAGCCTTGCCCCTTTATGCGACTTTACTCATACACTGTGAAGATAAATGTATTATATATTTTATAAGATTCAAGTTTCAACACAAATAAAATTATAAAAATGAAAATATAACAGTATGTGTCAAAGAAAACAGTAACAGCAATAGGTAACAAGTTAGAAAAATTAGTGATTGGGTTTGAGTGTTGTAACTATTCTTGTCAAGAATAGTATATTTATTGAGATATATATATAGTTGATAGAAAAGATATGGCCAGTCAAAAAAAATTGTCAGCATAGTATTAAATTGACCCCACAATTGTCTTGCAATTTCCACTTAAACTTTATATTCTCTCTTTTTTTGGTTTCATTTTTCAGCCTTAATTAATAGTTTGGGCCCCACGATCCACATGTCAAAAAATGGGCGGAGCCTCTTCCAACTTTGGTTGGTTGGGCTTCTACCATAATAAAAATTTTCCATACATCACTATCATATATATTAATCTTACCTCTAGTTTCAAATAGTTACATACATTATTATTTTTAATATTTTATACCATGTATTTTAAAAGATACAGTCAGATATAGGGGTGCACATCGGTCGGTTCGGTTCGGTTTTAGGTGTTATTGGTTCGGTTTATCGGTTTTCGGTTTGTAAATACTTCAAACCGATAACCAAACCAATAACATATTTCTTATCGGTTTTTGGTTAATCGGTTTATGGTACTTAACGGTTCGGTTTTCGGTTTAACCAATAAGAAAATACTCATATATATTATATACACGATAAGAAAATTTTCAAATAAACCATATGATTTTTCCAGCATTTGGCATGAAAGTAATAATCATAAAAGTAACAATCATTTTTCTTGCAAGTTTAGACACTAGACACATTCAAAGGAAAAAGTGTGAAAGTAACAATCGTTTTAACCATTAACAAAAAGTGTGAAAGTAACAATCGTTTAACCATTAACAATAAGACTAGTAAATTTAGTATAGTCTTATTGGGTTATCGGTTTAACCATTAACAAAAATTATAAAACCGGAAACCGAACCAATAATCCAATAAAAAATTTTGCAAAACCGTTTAAAAACCGTTAGCCCAATAACCCAATATCAATAAACCAATAGTGTTTTTTTTCGGTTCGGTTTATTGGTTAAATCGGTTTTTGCACACCCCTAGTCAGATAGACAAATTCCTTTAAAATGAGATTAATTATCTTTACATTTAAACACCTAAATTACTGGTCAATTAACAATTTGTTTTTTTTTCTCTCTCCAACAATATACCTCTGCCAATCACCTTACCCAACCGTAACTCTCGTCACCCCCCACGTCCTCCACCACTTAGCTCCACCATCTCTCTCATCCTTCAACTATCAAAACTGAATCTTGGTAATCAACATTATTTATAGAGGTTTTTTACTATTGTAACATTATTATCTTGTATCTGATATATGGTTCTTCCTTTTCATGAATCTAAGATATTAAGCCTCAATCAATTCGGTATTTTATACATGTATTTTGAATATTCAAACCGACGGATACATGTATTTGACGAATAATGATACATGTATCTAAATGACAAAATATGGCATAGAAAGTAATATGGTGATATCGGTCATTGTTGAAAAACTCACAATCGCAAGGAACAAAAAAAGAACAAATTAATGCCAAGAATATGGAGTTTACAATTAGAGAATTATTTCAGTTTTATGATTTCGTTATTTTAGGATGATTTGTTAAAGTTGATACACTAAGAAATATGTAGATATGTTAGAGTTGTTAATTAAGCATCAATTACTCCTCTAATTAAGGAAATTAGTTACATACATTTAATTCAAAATTAATAAAACGTGTATCTCCAATATTCAAACCGGTGGATACATATATCTGGCGAGTAATGTTACATGTATCCAAAAGATAAAATATAATATAGGAAGTAATATTCAAAACTATCGGGAATCATATATAGTAATTATGACCTAAACTAGTGGAATTTATGTGCTTTGCTTAATTATGAATCACACTAAACATTCGTTTAAGAAACGTGAATTGCTTATGAGATTTTTATAATCGTTTATAAATCTTGTGTTTGTCGATACATTTTATAAAATATATTCTCTAAATGTGAGTTCAAGTTTGAATGAAAAAAAAAGTTCAATAGTTCATTTATAAAACATATTCTACCCCAATTTCTAGTTAAGTTCTTTGATAAATCGTATTCGAAAGAAGAAAATGATTCGATAAAGTTAAAACTAGGCCCACTTAACTTCAACAAATGGAATCAACAAGCTAGGAATTATATTGTTGTGGATATATCGCTTTTTTTAGCTGAGTATCTATTGAAAATAACCTTATTATCTAACAAAGATCGGAATAATTCAAAACCTGCACAAACCTCACTTGTGGAATCATGCTGACAACATGCTTAACAAATACAAATCGAACGTGGAACCCGTAAAATCATATTTTTAATGGCGAACGAGTGAGTATGCGTAAGAATCTCCTCTTGGAAGGGGAACAACAACTCAAAAAATTTGTTAATAGCCCATAGGCTAACGGCCAATGATGGGTTGGATCACTCACGTTTGATTAGCTAGTAGATAAGACAATAACTTACTAATGCAATGATAAATAGCTAATTTGAGAGAATGACCAACCAAACTAAGACTAAGACATGACCCTAACTCTTACAAGGCACAATAATGAGAAATTTTCGCAATAGGTGAAGGGGAATATTCACATATAGCCACTCAAAAATAGCTTAATTACGTTTCATAGCTATAATTTGCTAATTATGATTCGTAGCTACGTGTTATAGGAAGAAGAGTGACGAGCGAGATTGGGAGAGGGAGGGGAGAGGCGAGCGAGAGAGGGCAGAGAGGTGAATTGTATATGTATATCGATTAGATAATTGTATCTAGCGAGTGAGATCGGGAGAGGGAGGAGAGAACCGAGCGAGACTGGGAGAGGGAGGAGAGAGACAAGCGAGAGAGGGCAATAATTTGTATAATTCACATCTCGTTTGTATAATTCACAAGTACGTTTGTATAATTCGCGTGTTTTTGTATAATTGAGTAATATAAAATATGAAATTATACAAATATGATAAACTCAAAATAACGAATTGATACAAACATAAACATATGAACTTTAAACAGTTATACAAATTACATTATATAAATCATATTATACAAAATTCGAAAACTACAAGTTTATACAAACCTTAAAAAGCTATACACGAAAAGATTGAATGTATATGGTGACAAAACTGAAAAACCAAAGGAAAACCATCATCATACACAAATACAAATCAAACGAAGATTTGTTAGTTGCGAATTATACAAACGTGACTAATTATACAAATTCGAAGTCAGTCCACATAATTAATGATTAATGTTAGTCGCGAGTGATAATTATAATAAATTATCCAGTTTAGAAAGTAGCCCTAGACAGATCATTGCTAAGAGGAGAGCTGGGAATTTCTTGCTAATCAGGTGCTATCATCGTATTATAATGATTATTCCGACGTCAGAGCAGACAAGACTACCAACCCCAGAGTGAATTAACCTTGTCTGCACTACCACCTTAGTTTACTAGACCTTGGGGAATTGGCTAGTTACCCTCACTCCGGCTATGATGACTAATTAAATAGTATAAATTTATTTAACCGCGTAATCTCATAGGCGAAAACCTAACAAAGCAATTAAAGGTAGAAGGCCCAAGAAGCCCATTTGACAATTAAAACGGTTTTCGAATTTGAAAATTTGAATCTAATAACACATCACACGTGCTT